TATTCGTAGTCGTCATAGTAGTAATGGTAGTATTAGTAGTCGTAGTAGTAGTAGTAGTAGTAGTATTAGTAGTAGTAAATATAGTAGTAATAGCGTCACATATATGATTAGTAGTGATAGTAGTATTATTAGTAGTAGTTATAGTAATCGTATTAGTAGTATTAGTAGTATAGTAGTAGTAGTAGTAGTAGATAAGTATTGGTATTGTCGCTACGATTAGTAGATAAGTAAAAAGTAGTCAGTAGTAGTAGTAATAGTAGTAGTAGTAGTAGTAGTAGTAGCAGCAGCAGTAGTAGTAGTAGTAGTAGTAGTAGTAGTAGTAGTAATAGCCGTAGTAATCGTCGTAACAGTAACAATAGTAACCGTAGTCGTAGTGGTACTAGTCGTAGTAGTCGTAGTCGTATCATTAGTATTGTTATGTTGTTATTATTTGTAGTATTTGTAGTAGTCGTAGTAGTAGTAATACTAGTAGCAGCAGCAGCAGTAGCAGCAGCAGTAGGAGTAGTAGTAGTAGCAGCAGTAACAGTAGCAGTCGTAGTATCAGTCGTAGTAGTAGTAGTAGTAGTAGTAGTAAGCGTAGTCCGTAGTAGTAAGTAGTAGTAGTAGTAGTAGTAAGTAGTAGTAGTAGTAGTAGTAGTAGTAGTGTATAGTAGTAGCAGTAGTAGCAGTAGCATAGCGTAGTAGTAGTAGTAGTAGTAGGTAGTAGCGGTAAGTAGTAGTATAGTAGTAGTAGTAGTCTAGTAGTAGTATTAGTAGTCGTAGTCGTAGTAGTAGTAGTAGTAGTAGTAGTAGTAGTAGTAGTAGTAGTAGTAGTAGTAGTAGTAGCAGGGGGATGCTCAGGGCGAGCAGAAGTGTGGGAAATGGAAGCGGAAAGCAAGGATGTGGAGGGATCGTGGAAGGATAGTGAAGTGGATGATTTTCATGATGCTGGGGGGAGACTGTGGAGGAGGAAGCGGCGGTGGAAGGTCGGGGGAGGATTGGTGGAGGACGTTGGGAGGAAGAGTTGGAAGATGACGATGACGACGATGCTGACGATGATGATGATCAGGAGGAGGAGGAGGAGGAGGAGAAGGAAGAGGACAAAGAGGAGGAGAAGGAGGAGGCGGATGATGATGATGATGATGATGAGGAGGAGTTGGAGGAGGAGAAGGAGGAGGATCAAGAGGAGGCGGAGGAGGAGGAGGAGGATGAGGAGGATTGTGAGGGCAAGGGCGAGGACGAGGACGAGGACGAGGAGGGAGGAGGAAGGCAAAGAGGGCGAGAAGATGGGTGACGTGGACGAAGAGGGGTGCGATGGCAAGGGCTTCGCGCGATGCCTTACGTGCGGAATGGCGCGTGCGCGCCGCGAGGTCGTTGTTTCGTCCAGGGACATGGGGTCCGAGCGGCGGGCCGTGGTGATCGGGCGCCGCGCCCCGCCGCCGCTGGCTCCCCGCTAGGGCTGCACTGGGCGGTGGCGTTAAGTTCGATTACGACGGCGATCGTGCCGTTCTCGGTGATGTTTGCGTTGATGGTGGTCCTGATGCTGCTCACGATGATTACGCATTAAAATGCCTGGTGTTGATGGTGGTGGTCAGGATTACGATTGTGGTGATGGTGGCGGTGTTGGTGGTGATGGCCACGATGACAACTGCCGGTCAGATGATGAGTGGACGAGCGATGGACTTGAGGACACCGAGGAGGAATACGAGGGCGAGGACGAGGGGGAACCGTATCTGTAGGAAAAGAGTGATGGTGATGATGGTAGTTTTGATGAATGTGATGAGTAGGAGGAGGAGGACGATGACAGGAGCAGGATGGTGATTATGATAACGATTATGATGATTGTCATGATGATGGTGATGATGATGATGATGATGATGATGATGATGATTCTGAAGAAGATGATGATCATGATGAGGATGAGGATGAGGATGAGGATGATGAGGATGATGAGGATGATGCTGATGCTGATTCTGATGATGCTGATGATGCTGATGATGATGCTGATGATGATGCTGATGATGATGCTGATGCTGATGATGATGGTGATGATGATACTGATGATGATGCTGCTGCTGATGATGCTGCTGCTGATGATGATGATGCTGATGATGATGATGATGATGATGATGATGATGATAATGATGATGCTGATGCTGCTGCTGCTGATGATGATGATGATGAGTATGATGATGATGATGATGATGATGATGATGATGATGATGATGATGATGATGATGATGATGATGATGATGATGATGATGATGATGATGATGATGATGATGATGATGATGATGATGATGATGATGATGATGACGATGGGGACCATGACTATATATATATATATATATTATAGTATAAAATATTATATATATATAGATACATACATACATATATATATGTATATATCTGTATATTGAGATGAGGAGGAGAAGGAGGAGGGACAGGAGGAGGACAGGATGGAGGGAAAGGAGGAGGGAGAGAGAGAGAGAGAGAGAGAGAGAGAGAGAGAGAGGAGTGCAGCAGCAGGAGGAGGAACATGAGCAGGATGGGGGAGGACAACTTGCGGGGGCAGGGGCACGGGGGAGCAGAGGTAGGAGGTGTTGAGAGAGGTTGTCGTTGTCGTCGTCGTCGTCGTCCTGGGAGTCACGGCGATGACGGCGGCGGCGACGATGGCGGCGGCGACGGACGGCGGCGACAGACGGCGGCGGCGCCGACGGCCGTGGCGGCGAAGCCCGGCGGCGACGACGGCGCTGTGGCCGCGACGGAGGCGGCGGTCCACCACGACGAGGACGGCCCGCGAACGGTGGCCAAGCTCGTCGTCGTCGTCGTGACCCCCCCGCCGCGCGAGGAAGTTCAGCCAGGTCGTCACGGCCCAGGAGCTCCTCTCCCAGCAGCTGGCCGAGGCTTCGGGGGGGACCTCGACTGCCGCTCGCGCAGCCTCGAAGACGCCGCCTCCGCCTGACGACGTCGAGGAGCGTCGACGACGCTCCTCGTCGTGTCGTCGTCGTCGTCGTCGTCGTCGTCGTCGTCGTCGTCGTGTTTGTCGTCAGCGACACTGTCGTCGCGTCGTCGTCGTCGTCGTCGTCGTCGGCGTCCGCGCCGCCCTCGCCCTCCTCGGCGTCGTCGTCCACGTCGTCCTGGCCATCTCCGTCGCTGTCGTTGCCGCCGCCTCGCCTCCCCGCTCCTCGCCGCGGGGCGGGGCGAGGTCGCGCGGGCCTCCAGCGTGGCGCGGCGGGGTCCGATGTCCGGGGGCCCTCGACCCCCCTCCACCCTGGAGGGCTGGGACGGGGCGGCGCGCGCATGCCGTCTCCTGGAGGCATGGCAGCTTTGCGCCGCGTCGAGGAGGCGGCGACCCCCTGCTGGGGCTGCTTGCGATCCGACCCGATCCGATCCGATCCCCAAGCTTCGATTCCGATCACGGTCCGATTTGACACGAGCTGATTTCCAAACGGTCCGATCCCGAGCCGATTCTGCGACGATCCAGGCGCGCTCCGATCCGTTTCCCATCCGATCCAACTTCGCGAATCCTTCGAGCTCAGGCCTGGCAGCGCAGGCGCGGGCGCGATTCGATCGATGCACGTGTAAATCTATGTATGTAGGTTATTCGTTCTACGCCCCCACCTCCACTGCTCGGGTGATCTCGATGTGCACACCGCGTCGCTTGGTCGGTCAATGGCTGAGGAGCCAGGTAATTCGGCGAGGGAGCGGTGGATGGACGTGCCAGCATTTTAGGCTGTGGTAAGCTTTGGCAAATGTCTTCGGGCGACGGTGACCCTGCGCATGCATGCACGTATTTTCTCGGCCGACCAGACGACTCTGTGTATACTTCGGGCCCTTCCCAGCCTCCACCTCCTGCTCGGCCTCTGTCTTCCTTTGGTTCGAGTCGGATGGTGGTGCTCGCCCTCCACGGAGCCTGTGCCACGGGTCAACCCCCTCGTCTTCCTTGACGATGAGGGCAACGACGTAGGAAGGGCGGTCGGACGGACGACGGAGACTAGGAACGGCGACGACTACGAGGGGGATGGCGACGACGTCATCGTTCGTCTCGTTGTCGTCGTTCCTCTTTGCCGTCCTCGTCGTCGGCGTCGTCAGCGTCGGCGGCGTTGTCGTCTTGAGGTCGCCGGCGGCGGCGGCGTCGTCGTTTCGTCGTCGTCACATTGTCATTTGTCGTTGCCGTCGCCGTAGTCGTCCGTTGTCGTCGTCGTCGTCGTCGACGTCGTCGTCGTCGTCGGCCGTCGTCGTCGTCGTTCGTCTTCGTCGGCCACAGCTTGCCGACGGCCTGCCTCAGAGCGATGGCCGAGCAGGTCGACGGGCACGAACGAGTTCCGAGAGCTCTGCTCCCCGTGCGCTGCTGCTGCTCCTCCTCTCGCGCTGACTCGCCGCTCCCGGCGGTCAGTCCCGGCATCGTCACGCGTCGCATGCCGGCTTGCCTGGCGGCGTTCGCGGCCCCCGCGCCTGCAGTGTGCCCGCGTCGTCCAGCGGGTGGCGCCCGCGCACGCAGCCAGGAGTGCCGTGACGTGCGGCTGGGTCAAGGGCTGCGAAAGGTGCCCCTGGCCCGAGGTGCCCCCAGCTTTTCGCTCCGCTGTGGAGCCTTTGGGGCCCTCTGGGCCTCGGGAGGGGTGCTCTGGAGGCCGCAGGGGCCTTCTTGGAAATCCTGGGGGCACCTTGATCCAGGGGCACTTCTAGCAACACCCTACTGGGACCCTGCGTGCCAGGGCCGCGGAGCCTTGCGGTCCAGAGGTGTGAGGGTTGGGAGCTCGGGGCCCTGGGGCCTCCAGGCCCAGAAGCCCAGCACTCCTCCTGCGTCTCCTGCTGCTGCGTCTCCTCCTGCTGCTGCTTCTGCTGCTGCTCGTCCTCCTCCCATGGACGTCGATCGCACTCGAGGACCTGAACCTAGGGAAAGTGCTTGGAGGCTTGTTCCATATTCACCGCAGGAGGCACCACCATGCACTTGAACCTTCATGCGCGCCTTCCGACCGCCCCGTCCTTGTCCTCCTCCCTTCCCCCCTCCTCTCCATAGCCGTTTTGGTTCACTCGAGAACTCAAGGCCGCAGCGAGTGGCCTCGCAACCTCCTTTCCGCGCCGACCAATCCGCGTATTGGCACTTCGCAGCCATGGGGATGGCATTCACCAAGCTCTTCGCCAAGCTGGTCGGCAAGCAGGAGATGCGCATCCTGATGGTGGGCCTCGACGCCGCGGGCAAGACCACGATCCTCTACAAACTGAAGCTCGGCGAGGTCTCCAGTAGGAGATCGACTACAGAATTGGTTTGCCCCAAACTGTTTTCTCGCCGAATCGGAGAAACATAGATGGAATTTTCGTAGATCAGCGAGAGTTCTGCGTATTCAAGAGGCTTTCGCCATTCAGCCGACCTCCAGAAGAGTTCACGGCTGAGGCGTCGTTGGCTTCTTGGGCACCATCTGGGAATTCCTGCGTGCGTCTTGGGAATCTTGGAGGCAGTTTTGAAGCGTCTTGGGGACTGGGGCCTCTTTCGGGCCTCTCGGGGGCCTCTTGGGGCTTGTTGGGCTTCTCTTTTGGGCCGTTTGGGGGCTTCTTGGAGCTCATGGGAGGCCTCTTGGGGCGGACAGATGTTTTTCGGTTCGTGTTCTCTTTCTTGGCCTCTCTTGGGGCCCTCTTGGGGCGATCTTTGGCCGTCGTCGGGGCCCTCTTTGGGCTGTCTAGGAAACCTCGAAGGCCGTCCTGGGGCCCTGGTAGGGGTCGTCTTGGAGCGCCGGAAGCTCGAGAAGACGATAACCCTATAAATCATGCAACACCTTAGGAAAGCTATTTCCCAACCATCCTGTGGTGTTGGGTCCTCGTTTTGAAGAGACAGCGCCCCGCGTCTCCTCTCCTCTCCTCTCCTCTCCTCTCCTCCTCCTCCTCTCCCCCCTCCTCCCTCCTCCCATCGCCGTCATCATACTCATCGTCATCATCATCATCATCCTCATCTTCATCATCATCATCATCATCATCATCATCATCATCCTCGTCATCATCACCACCAGCATCATCGTCATCGTCATCGCCATCGCCATTAGTTCCCAACCATCCTGTCATCATCACCACCAGCATCATCATCGTCATCACCACCAGCATCATCATCGTCATCGTCATCATCATCATCATCATCATCATCATCATCATCATCATCCGTAGCCATTTTGGCTCAAGCACGAAACGTGCGGCCTGGCGCTTCGTGCTTGGTCGCTGCCGAGGGCCAGGCTCGAGGTTATTTTAGCCTCAGGGTGTGCGCGGTGGAGGTGCTTCTATTAGCCCTGTCAGATCCAACCTTCTGGGACGTTCTGGCTGCCGCGATGGCCGCCACTCTCTCCATGGACCAGAAGATGGATCAGCTGCTGGCATCAATGTCCACCGTCGTAGCCACCGTCAATGCCCACGACGCTAAGTTTGCCAGCCTCGCCAAAGACATGGAGAGCATGAAGACCGACATGCGCAATGAGATGGACATCAAATTCGAGCACATGCAGAACCAGATCATCGCCCTGCAGCAGCGCCACGGCAACATCACGGGCGGCGAAGCCTCTGACGAGATGGTCGACACATGCCTGACGGTTTCACTACTTAGCGCTCAGACCGACCAGAAGATCAGCGTCATCAATGCCGCACTCGAGGAGCTGAAGACCTCTGTCGCTACGATTTCACGACCACCTTCGACGGCGTCTGGCATCGCCAGCACATGGGGGACCGTGGCCACGCCCCGTGGAGCTAGCGCCGCGCCTGCTGACAGGCGGAAGCTCTGGGTGCGAGGGTTCCCTGTCAAGCTGATGGCTTCTGCATTCGACAAGCACTTCGAGTTCCTGAAGACACTTCTCTCGCCCACCTACCGCGACAAGTGCAGCGCGATCACCAAGAGCTGCAAGTACGCTTACGTCATCATCTTCGAAGACGCCGACGACGCCAAGAATGCCCTGTTGCAGCTGCGTGCCATGACGCTAGAATGGGGAGATGGCAGTGGCTTTCGGCATCGGCTTCGGGTCGGCACCGACGAACCCATCGACATCCGCAAGAAAGGTTGGGTGCTGGGCCAGGTCTGGCAACACATCAAGCAGGTCATGACCGACGCTGGCACATGGCGTCCTGACTCGCAGCTCCGATGCAACAAGTACATGGGCCTCTGCTTCTTGGTCAACGGCGACCTCGTTGACGAGCTCGTCGTGTTGCAGAATGTCCTCGAGACCGACAACCCGAACGTCGAGCCCAACCGCGGCAACTTGAAGCGCTACGGCTTCACCGACGAGCAAGTAGACAAGCTGCCCGAGCTGGGTTCTGAGGTTGATGCTGCCATAAGTTCGGTTGAAATGCCCAGGGACCCGTTCGAGTACCTCCTGTCCGTCAAAGACGCGATGTATGTTGCCAAGGATGCTCTGATGACTCGCATGTTCTTCCGAGGCCCCAACAATGATGCGCAGAAGTTGTCGGTTTACCTTAAGTTTCTACGGGCTGTTCGGGATGGCAAGTCTTGGGACGTTCGGAGGTGTATCCAGGCTATTCCTCATCTTAGTCTACATGTTCATGCTGATGAATGTTGTTTTAGAGATTCTGTGTCTTTTTATCGGGAAATGGCCGAGCTCCAGCATTCTCTGCTTCAGCGAGAAATTCGCGAACACGTCGAAGGTGGCGGAGCCCCCGACGACGATCGAGGCCTCAGGTTGCACCAGCTTCTGCGACAGTGGTCTCCCAAAAGGCGCCGAATCGTTCTGGTTTCGGTCCCCGACCCCACCGGGGACCCCTCGCCTGATCTCGAAGTCAGTGCTCAGAACCTTGCGTCCCACTGGGGGCGGGTCCATGCCGCGAAGCCTCAGGACAGGGGATACCACTTCCAGAAGACACTGTTGAGCAGTGAGATTCAGCAGGTTGCCCCAGGTATCGAGTGGACGCTCGACCTGCATAGCTTCATAGGTAAGCTCGTCAGCCGCAAGGACAGCGCGACTGGCCCTGACGGAATTCCCTACAGTGCCTGGCGGTTCGCTGGAGACGCTGCTCACAATGCCTTGTATCAAGTTTATCTCGCTATATTGGACAATCCTACATATGGGCCCCCGCATAAAGGCTTCAACGAGTCTCTCACGGTATACCTCCCTAAGGCCATCTGCCCTCACGAAGCTGGAACCTCTGAGATCTCTCGGGAAGCGTCTGTGGTGCGCCCTATTGCTCTCAGCAACACTGATAACAAAATAGTATCATTGGCCATATGCGAACCATTTAGCCAACAATGCCAGTACAGCGTCTTAGGCTCCCAGACGGGTTTCGTGCGCAAGAGGTCTATGCTCGACAACTTGCTCTGCCTTGAGGCAGACATTCTTGAATGCGCCTGCTATCGCGGCATGCCGCACGCTGGGCTACTCCTCTTGGATTTCCGCGCCGCGTTCCCGTCGCTGCGCCACGACTGGATCATAGATGTGCTAATCATGATGAACATACCCATGTATATCGTGAATGCCATTCGGTTCCTATACACCGGTATTTACACACACATATGCCTAGCAGGAAAGAAGTTTCCAGGCTACTCGATCACCCAAGGCATTAAACAAGGATGTCCGCTGTCGGGTGCTTTATTTGCGTTATGCATCGACCCGCTGCTGCGCCGATTATCTAACTTGCTAGCTCCTGTTTGTGCTACCCCTCGTGCCTTTGCAGATGACATCCAGATCTCGGCATCCAACCTGTTGCTCGCTGTTCCGATTGTGCTGAAGAATGTTATTAGGTCCAGCCGTTGCACTGGCCTGCTCTTGAACCTTGCCAAGTGTATGATCGTGCACGTGCAAGAGATGCCAGACGACCAGCATTTCGCCCTGTTCGAGTCCGTTCGCACCAACGTTCGCTCGCTTATGCACGGCACTAGTGGCAAAGTCTTGGGTGTCTTTCTGGGCCCTGGAGGTTACAAGAAATCCTGGTCCGCTCCGCTTCAGAAATATATTAATCGTGTCCGTCATGTTCGGTCGCTTCGTCTTGGGCTTACTCAAAGTATCTATGCATATAACTCCTTGGCCTTCTCGGTTCTCACCTTCGTGATGCAGCTATGTTACATATCGCAGGACGCTCTTCGCATGGAAACCAAAGGTTTGCAGACTCTCACCGCATGCCCCTTCTACAGCATCCCTACTGATCTTCTCCGCAATCTCTCGTCTGCGTTGCATTGGCCCATTGCCCCGCGCAACCTAGTGCTGGAGAATCAGGCTGCCATGTATCGGGTCGCTGTTCGGTCTAAGGTTTTTGATAGCATTCGGAAGCGCTTTCATGAGCTTGAGGAAGAGGACTTGGATGTTCTGATGGTCAAGCGATACCCGGCATGGCGTGCCGAGTCCATTGTTTTCCACCTGATTCACAATTACGAGCGACTAACTGCCCTGCCGTGGAACCACTTCGATGAGGACACTCACGAGTTGCAGAGACAGATTTTGAAGAAATTGCTTTCTGAGGCCCCTTGTAGCTCCGCGAGTTTTCTCCTGGGCAATCGAATTCGGTTCGCTTTTCCTTTTGCTGATGCCTCTAGTATCGACCTTGCGGTGCTCAGGCTCCAAATTGCCTGCGCGCGCGTCGGCCCATTTGTGGCTGCGGCCATTCTCAAAACCATCTGCAACGCGTGGGCGACCTCTGCCAGGTATAGGCAAGGCCGTCTTACCTGCCGTTTCGGTTGCCTGGCCACAGGCGGCGACCACGTCCAGCATTACTTCGATTGCCCTCATGTCCTGAGCTTGCTCCATTCTGTTTTGCCCTTCCTGCCAGTCGAATATTTGAATCAGAGCCTCGATGCGCGTATGCTGTGCACTATGCCATGCCAGTCTAGTCAGCAGCTGTTCTCTTTGTTTCTTGTCCACGACCTGCTTTTTTCTACCTTTAACTCCTTGAGGAGCTCGCACAGGTACGGGCCCGAATGCCTGCTGCCTCTCCTGCGCGCGCGTGCCCGCCACATTGCCAAGAAGGGGCGCGGCGTGCGGAGCCTGCTCATCAGGAGGCCCGCGGCAGAGGGCAGCTGAACTGCCCCCCTCTCTGGCGCGCTCAGGGGAGTGCGATCATCATCATCATCATCATCATCATCATCATCATCATCATCATCATCATCGCCATCGCCATTAGTTCCCATTTCCGCACACCCCTCACACGTTTCGTGGCCCCATAGGGAGCTCCACCGAAGGCCCCAGTGGCAGGGTTCGCATGCCGCCCCCACCCCACTTTGGCACACCCCTCACACGTTTCGTGGCCCCATAGGTAGCTCCACCGAAGGCCCCAGTGGCAGGGTTCGCATGCCGCCCCCACCCCACTTTGGCACACCCCTCACACGTTTCGTGGCCCCATAGGTAGCTCCACCGAAGGCCCCAGTGGCAGGGTTCGCATGCCGCCCCCACCTCACTTTGGCACACCCCTCACACGTTTCGTGGCCCCACAGGGAGCTCCACCGACGGCCCCAGTGGCAGGGTTCGCATGCCGCCCCCACCCCACTTTGGCACACCCCTCACGCATTTCGTGGCCCCATAGGTAGCTCCACCGAAGGCCCCAGTGGCAGGGTTCGCATGCCGCCCCCACCTCACTTTGGCACACCCCTCACGCGTTTCGTGGCCCCATAGGTAGCTCCACCGAAGGCCCCAGTGGCAGGGTTCGCATGCCGCCCCCGCCCCACTTTGGCACACCCCTCACACGTTTCGTGGCCTCATAGGGAGCTCCACCGAAGGCCCCAGTGGCAGGGTTCGCATGCCGCCCCCATCTCACTTTGGCACACCCCTCACACGTTTCGTGGCCCCATAGGGAGCTCCACCGACGGCCCCAGTGGCAGGGTTCGCATGCCGCCCCCACCCCACTTTGGCACACCCCTCACGCATTTCGTGGCCCCATAGGGTGCTCTACCGAAGGCCCCCGTGGCAGGGTTCGCATGCCGCCCCCACCCACTTTTGCACACCCCTCACACGTTTCGTGGCCCCATTGGGAGTTCCACCGACGGCCCCAGTGGCAGGGTTCGCATGCGTGCGCGCCACCCATGTCGACACACCCTTGACACGTTTCGTGGCCCCATAATGAGCTCCACCGAAGGGGCCCCAGTGGTTGCGTTCGCATGCGTCCCCACCACTCATTTCGGCACACCCCTCATACGTTTCGTGGCCCCATAGGGAGCTCCACCGAAGGCCCCAGTGGCTCCCCACCACCCATTTCGGCACACCCCTCACACGTTTCGTGGCCCCATAGGGAGCTCCACCGAAGGCCCCAGTGGCTGCGTTCGCATGCCTCCCCACCACCATTTCGGCACACCCCTCACACGTTTCGTGGCCCCATAGGGAGCTCCACCGAAGGCTCCAATGGCAGGGTCCGCATGCCTCCCCACCACCCATTTCGGCACACCCTTCACACTTTTCGTGGCCCCATAGGGAGCTCCACCGAAGGCCCCAGTGGCGCGGTGCCTATGAGAAGAGGGGCTTAGTTTGCGTGCCCCCTCCTTCGTCTCATATCCGTGCGGTACTCGCAGCTGCATATGGTTGGGTCCTTCGCCAGGCTAATTGTTTTGCCTCTCGGGGCCCTCTGGGGAAGCCCCTTGGGCCTCTCGGGGGGCGTCTCGAAGGCGTCTTGAAGCCATCGTAAGTGTCTTGGGCCAATCGTTCGGCGATTCGGGACCGTCTTTGCACGTGACGCCTTGGAAGACAGATTTGGAAGCTCCAGAGTCTCTAGGGAGGCGCCGTGGTGCTCGTGCACCCCCCCACGCAAGGGGGGGGGGGACAGTGAGAGGGGGACAGCCAAATTATCACACGCCTTCTCACCCCGGGCAAGCGGGGGTCGTCGGATTCTTCGTAGTTCAGACGAAAAAAAACGCCGGTTTTTGGGTAGATCAATCCTGCAGTCGATCCCATACTCGAAGGTCGTCACCACCATCCCGACTATCGGCTTCAACGTGGAGACGGTCGAGTACAAAAACATCAGCTTCACCGTGTGGGACGTCGGTGGCCAGGACACACTCCGGGGGGTGGGGGGCGCTGGCTGGGCACCCGCACTGATCTTGGCCGCGCCCGTCCCGGGCCCAGGGCCCAGCCGCCACGACCCCAGGCCCCCTCGATGCAGGACAAAAATCCGGTTGTTGCTCCTCCTCCCCCCTCCTCCTCCTCTTCCTCCTCCGTCTCCTCTCCTCCCCAAGGTGCTCCCGGCCCAAGGTGCCCCCAGCTTTTCGCTCCATTTTGGAGCCCCTGGCCCTCTGCGCCAATTCGACGCCATGCTTGACCGTGACACCGCGGTAGCATTATTACGGAGTGGGAACATTAAGCGGGGCACAAACAATGTATGGGCGTCGCCGGACAGAGAACCAGCTGAGTGTGCAGCCCTGCAATTTGTGCTTCGGCCTCCAGCGCATCTTAAAGAAGAAGTTGGGCAATCCATCCTTCATCAAGGTCACAGACGAGGCGCCGTACCAAGTATATGTGGCAGGTGAATTGGCGGTTGCCGTTCACATCACGGGTGCCAATACAGAGAGAGAGTGGGAAGGCGAATTGGGATCATGGGCCAAGTTGCACAAGCACCACCAAGTTTTCGACCTGATCCACCAATGTGAATCTTTGGTGCAACGGGCGTCTATGGGCATGAAGGGTGGAGCTAAAGGGAAATCCAAAGGAAACCATTGGACATAGGACGCGCGGCGGGCATTTGGACCCTTGCCGGGGCTCAATGCCACAACGCCCCCAGCCGAATTATACAGATTCAATTATTTTGCTTCTGAAGATGCTAGGATGGATGTGGTACCTGGTGCTGACGAGCACGTAGACCGCATTGTCAACCTCAACATTTTTTCGGGTCAGCGCGAAGCTACCTGCAACCTACTTGTTTCACCCCCTTCCTCACTTCCTCACCACCAACACCTTCTTGGGAGCGTTGTTCTAATGCTGACAAGCCCGACGTCTTCACATATCGACCTTGTCATGTAGAAGCGCAGCCTAAAACTGATACAGTTGTGCAGTCCTCTTCGGGACCCTCCCAGGCTCGGGGCACATACACCATTGCCGGAAGCGTTATCCGTGGTTCGTCCGACAATGCTGCACATGTGGATCCAAACCGCATTTTTCAATCATTGCAGCCTGGCGCTGATACGTTGGAGTTGCTGGATCTGGACACCTACTCCGAAGGCGACACGTCGTTTCATCATCTTGGCCTTCCTTCTGCTTGTGCTCTTCACCATCGCATTTGCGATGGTGCAGTGGGGCTGGGTGCGGACGAAGCTGCTCCACCATTGACGGCGGCATGCGGTGTCGTCGCCGATGTTGACACCGAGACGGCGCACCTTGGGGGTCGGTAAAAATCTGTCTAGGTTCTTCGCGCGCCCAATCGTTATGGCACTCCTCTGGCGGGAGCCGTTCGGAAACTGGAATGTGAAAGGCCTCGGCGCAGATATGGAGAAACTGACATAGTTGCAACGCCACATGGAACGTCATGAAACCACTGTGCTCTGCATGCAAAAGTTGGGGATTGCCGCGCTTGCAGATGAATTGGGTTCACGGTGCCCGCCACCGGCTAGTAGATTATGTTCTGGAGTGGGATTTTTTATCTCCCCTTCCGCGATCAAACCGGTTATCCGTTAGAAGCTTATTTCGGACAGGCTAGCCATATTGAGGCTAAAAGTCCGTGGCCGAGTACATCATACTGTTACGACGTATGTTCCGCATGCAGGTTACGATTGCGAAGACAGAAGGGAATTCCACGACCAGCTCGCCAAGGTCTGGCCGGCACCGACCAGACCCAGCTGTACAAGTGATGTGGGAGATTTCAACGCTAGGCTGTGCGACCGTCAGCCTGGAGACGACGACGTCATAGGCGAAGTCATCCTTCGATGTAAATGGCCCAAGCGGTGCAAGTATTTGAATGGAGATTTATTGTTGGAGACATGCAGAGCAAAAAGAGCAACCTCGAATGCTATTGCAGGCGCGTTTTTCGAACGCCCGCCTGAAGAGTTGGCTGCGTAATATGGCGCAGAAGTTCACCAGACTCGTCCTGTGGGAGATGGCTTCGCTCAAGTAGACCATTGGTTAACGGACCACGCAACAACTGTGAAGATATCAGATATTTGGGCGGATCGCGGATCAACTTTGGCATCTGGTCATGTTTGTATTCGCATGTTATTCGACGTCGAATTCGGCATCGTGCCGCAAAAGCACAGCATGGGCACAAAGTACACGAACCTCTTGGTGAACGACAAGGACATGGCAACATCTTATTGCCAGCGGTTTTGCGAAGCATCTCTCGCGGCCACAGAAATGGATAATTTGAGCGCGCATGCGTGCCGCATTAGATCCGCGATGGAATGCGCGGCGCAAGTTTTCCAGCGGTGCGGGAGGGGGCCTGAACGTGCATGCATTACAACGGCCACGGTATATTCGTTGAACAAGCGCGATCAACTTCAAGCGCGGGGGGCAACGGAGGAATTACAGAAACTGCGCAAACGTATCAAAGCATCCGTGAGGGCTGATAAGAGGAAGTGGTTGGAAGCACAGCTGGTGGAGGGTCGTGGACAGCAGTTCGAGCGCTGTGGAAGACGCCTCGCGAGCGGCCAGTCCGACTTCTAGACGCGTCGCGCAGCCCCACCAGCCCACCCAGAAACGATGCCCAGAGCAGCGCGAAGAGGAAGGGCCCCCCGGTGGAGGCCTCCTGGAGCGTCCTGGGGACCTTTGTGGCGGTCCCAGACGCCTTGGAGCGTCTCGGGTGCCTCGGAGAGATTCTTGGGGCCCCTTTGGGGGCCTCTTGGGGGCCTCTTGGAGGCCCAGGGCCTCTCGGGGCCTCCTGGGCGCCTCCCGGGACCCTCTTCAAGCGCTCTTTGGAGCCTTGGGGGCCCTCTTGGGGCCATCTAGGAGGGCGCCGATAAAACAAGAGGGGGGCGTTTGTTGGCGTTGCCCCTCGGGGGCCCGAGAAGTCGCCTCTTGGGGCGCTCTTGGAGCGCTCTTGGGCGCTCATTGGGCCGTCTCGGGGCTCTCGAGCTTTTCTTGGGGCCCTCGCGGGCCATCTCGGAGCCGTCTTGAGGCCTCGGATGGTCGTTGAAAGCGAAAAGGCGAGAAAGCCAAATGCATTGATTTCCCCAGGGTTTCGGCGCGACTTTGGCCTCTTCGGGGCCTCCTGGGGGAGCTCTTTGGCCACTTGGGGCTGTCTTGGGGCGGTCTTCGGGCCTCTTGGGGCATCGTGTGGGCCATTTTGAGGCATCCTGGTATATCTTGAGCCATCTTGGGGGTCATCTTGGGCTCTCACAGGTGCTCCTAGAGTCATCTTAACCAGGGCCCCCCCCAGGAGGCCAACGTGTGCCCGGAACCTGGGTGACATCAGTGATTGGCATTCTCGCCGAGGCCTCTCAGAGCGTCTTGGGTGCCTCTGGGGGGCCTCTCGGGGCCTCTTGGGAGTGTCTTGGGAGCCTCTCGGGGGCGTCCGGGGGGCCTGGGGGCCCCGTAGTGCCTCCAGGCATTTCTTGGGGCCCTCTTGGGGCGCCCTTGAGAGCCTTGGGGGCGCTCTCGGGGCCATCTCGAAGAATCGATCAAAGATGCCAAACCCATAGTGGAACCAATCTTTTTGGCTTCCTCGCCGAGGCCGTTTTGGGCGCTCCAATTACCCGCGGGCCCCCCGAGGTCCGGGGGTTGGGGGGTTGGGGGGGTGAACCCCTCCCCGATGGGGAAAAAGGGGGGTTGGGAGAGGAATTTCCCTTGGCCGTCTACGCCCAGGACCAGCGAGGACAAGCGAGGCAAGAAGGGCTGTTGGGGTTCAGGACGGGCGAGGGCAGATTGTTGACAGTTTCCAGCGTGCAGATGCATCAGCTGCTTAACAGGAAGAAGTAATTCGAAAGTTCAACATGCAACTTTTACACCGACTGGTCGCAGTCGCATGGGGCACGCGTTGCCGATTTCGATTGATACTGTCAACGTGGAGTTGAAGAATGGATAGCGGGCTCTCTCGACGGGCGCAGCGGCCGGCGTCGACGACGCGCCTCCAGAGTTTTGGAAGCCCTCCAGCCCTTTAGTGCGTAGGTGATTTAGGGGGTTTCCTCTAACATCGTTTTTTTTTTTTTTTGAAGGTTAGGGCGCCATTTTGGCCCCCAGAAGGGGGGGCGATAATTTAGGGCCCCCCCCCCCCCCTCCTTTGATCGATCTCCTCCGAGATGGCGCCGGAAGCGCCCCTGGGGCCCCCGAGGGTGCTCCGAGAGCGCCCCGAGAGGTGGGCAGGATGCCCCAAGAGGCCTCCGAGAGGGCGCCCCCAAGAGGCCCCCGAGAGACCCGTAAGTGGCCCCCCAGGAGCGCCCAAAACGCTCTGAGAGGCCTCGGCGAGACAGGATCAGTGATTTTACTAAGGGTTTGGTCACATGTTGGCCTCCTTGGGGGGGGTGGGGGGTGGGGCGCTGGTTGAGGCGGCTCCAAGATCGCCTGGGAGAGCCCAAGATGTCCTCCAAGATGGCCCGAGATATCTCAGGATGCCTCAAGATGGCCCCCGCGATGCTCCAGGAGGCCCCGAGTCCGTCCCAATACGGCTCCAAGTTGCCAAAGAGCTCCCCCAGGAGGCCCCGAAGAGGCCGCAATCCATCCAAAACCTTCGGAGCATCAATGTATTTGGCTTTCTCGCCTTCTCGCTTCCGATGGCCGTCCGAGGCCTCAAGATGGCTCCACGATGGCCCGAGAGGGCTCCGAGAGAGGCTCGAGAGAGCCCCGAGACGGCCCCAAGAGCGCCCCAGAGCGCTCCAAGAGATCCATAAGCGCACCAAGAGGCGACTCATTGGGCTCCCGAGGGGCAACGCTAATTAGCGCCCCCCCCCCCCTCTCGTTGGATCGATGCCCTCCAAGATGTCCCCAAGAGCGCTCCGAAGGCTCCCGAGAGCGCTTCGAGAGGGCCCCGAGAGGCGCCCGGGGGGCCCCGGGATGCCCCAATAGGCGCCCAAGAGGCTACCAATAGGCTCCCAAGAGACCCCCAAGAGGCCCCAAGCAGCTCTCCGAGGCGCCCAAGACGCTTCAAGAGGCGTCCAGGACTGCCAAGAGGCCCCCAAGACGCTCCGGGAGGCCTCCACTGG